CACTTCTGACTCCAGTTGTAGTGTTGTAAATACGAATAAACTTCTTAGGAGGCACACTCTGTTTATTGTTATTCCTTCCTTATGCAGTCCTTAACACACACAAAGGGGGATACGGTCCCTTCACCCGATACCCTAAGGAGGTACAGCCTCTGGACTCAGCGTAACCTACACACAGATCTTCTTGATACCTAAAGAGGTACAGCCTCCTAGCTTGGCGGGACTTGCACGTCTACCGCTACCCTATCCCAGAGTCCTCTGGCTGGGACCTAGGGGTGGCTATCTGACCCACCGCTGGCCCGGTGGGTCCTGACCACTGGATACGGCGAGCCTTAGCCCTCAGAAGGGCTGGAAGGCTGGTCCAGGGTCCTAGCTAGTCTTCAGCCCGGGCTTCGGTCTTCGTGTAGGGAGAGAACTCCCCGAGCTCTCCGCAGAGACCCTTCCTATACTCGTTTGTGGCTAGGTACAACCAATCCCACATTCCCACGTGGAACTGTCTGATTGGTTCTTACCAAACTGTGGCTACGATCCACTTCACCTCGACTGACCCCAACCGTTTTGTACACAGAGGTAACGCTGCACTGCCCCCTTGATACCTGGTGGCAAAGCAGGTTACTGAACAGTTCGTGGTTAACACCTCTACACATGTGACGTGAGGAGTTGTTGTCGATTGCGGCAAGAGCTTTATTTAAGTGACGCTGAGCTTTACTCACACATCGGAAGGTTCCGCTTTGTGAATTATACAATTACCCCCTTTGTTGAGCGTCAAGGTGTTGCGACTTAATGTTAAGAACCTACAAATAGACTTCAGTAATGCACCTTGAGGAAGTAAACTGGTCGCTGCTTGAATGTTTGAAAACCTATTTAAATGAAGAGGTACCTTGAACGTTCTATTCATGTTGCTGCAATTATTGAAAACTCTCTCATTATGAGTACAAGACATAGCACTGAGACAGAGGGTATTTTACATCAGATACATTGTGCGCAATAAGAGCTGCTCCCTAAAAACCAATATGCAGTTAAAAAGTTGTGGTTGCCAGTACAATTCATCTCTTTGCCTTATTTGTGATTAAAACTCATTGATGCGCCTGCCATAAATGTGTGTGGGTTGAATGCGATTATGCACGCGAGGTTCACTCTAACAAGAAAACCAAAGTATACACTATGCCTGCACTAGATTGTGGGTTTCCACCTTCTGGATATCATAGACTGCGTGAAAATCATGGATAAATATCTTGCACTTCTGTAGCGTTGGGATAAAATGTATTAATAATAGATGAGGTCACCTGAATCCAATCCACAAAATGAAGTTTACATACAATATACATTGCATACGTCGATTCCTCTAGCTATTTCTTTACATTATTTTTACATGCGAATACACATTCTGAACGTGGTGTACATGTTGTGCATGCATCGTCGTTTGTTCGGACTCTGTGTGCCAGGTATTTCCAACTGCTTGCTGTTGTTACTCTTGGCCTTGTAAGAGATGCAACTATTCTGCAATGTACCAAAACCATCTTTCTTTGTACACCTACTGAATTACTTTCTGTTATTTATCCTTGAGTGAAGTACATTGTGATCGTGACTGATACATATTGTAGAAACATAGCAGAATAATCGAATATTCATGTAGGCGTTGGTTGTTATTGTATTAGGCCGAACCAAACCATATATGTTGTACCTTTAAATGTTCAAGTGCTCAGTTATGGGTCTGCAGCATCTCCATAAAACATGGCAGATGTCAATACATTCATATTTAAATGGCCTCATTATCCAGACATACACGCAATCTATTCACGTGCCAAAAACTAAGAATCAGTAATAATCAATTTTGTTTGTTTATTTTGTTGTTAAAAGAGCTAAATAATTGTTTATTGCTGCAGTGCTTGGTCAGTGAAAACGTCTTATAAATCTGCACTTGCATTTTGCATACTGATTTACTGATATTCAGTAAGTATATGATGGAAACATTTTAACAAGTGCTCATTATGGTGCCGCAATGTATATTTAGCAATTGCTCTTAATAGTCATCGTAAAGATGTTGACTATGAAATCGAGGCAATGCCATTTTTTATATCTCTGAGGACAGCACGCAAAATAATAACTTTCCTGCAACTTATTTTGATGAGATATCAATAATTTTGTCCCTGTGTACTGTAGTGGCCACACACGGTGGATTCCCACTCTATGGGTCTTGCAATAGTAATACTTTCCCACACTTTGGAAGGAGCAGTCCGTGTAATTGTCGAAATCTCTTAGATTGAGGCGCCCAGGGGAACGTATTAATAATACACATACTACACCGTATGTATGAGGAGGCTGAAGTTGGGTGGGATCATAAGTGTTAATCACTGCATCAGCGGATTAAGGAATTGTGTAGGGTGTGTGTGCACACATTCTGAAAATGTCTGAGGTCAAACATGTCATTCTGTACGAGGCCTTACTCCAAGGTGTTAGGCCAATTGCGTCTCAGTCAACACTCCCGAGAAGAGACTGCAATGGAATGAGCCGAATACACTGACTTGGCCCACACCAGGCATGCAGTCTAACACGTAGCCATTCACGACCAATATTATTCACAATAGGTTTGTGGGTGAGATCGCATGAATGTAAATGTGTTGTTAAAATCGCCACCACCCAACAGCCGATTAGTAAGGTCTGTCACGTACTAATAATTAATTGGCATGTTTTGTTTACGTGATAAACTTTACTAATTGGCTGTCGGGTGGTGGGTTTAACGACACATTTATATATTTACCAGGCGAGCAATGAACTAAGAAACGAAGCCTACCTCTGCACCACCCGGCTCCCATAGCAACTGGGCATGCAACAATACATCCATGGAGATGTTAAAATAAATTGTCGTAATTAGGGGACATATTCTCTTGTTTTGATGTTTTTAGAATAATTAGTATTGTTGTTTTTACACGTTGCTCCCTGCTTCAGCCTCAATGTAACAGCGGAATATAATTTGGATATCATTTACATATACCATAGATAATACATTATTATTACATTTGATGTGTGTGTTATGAATCGATCTTAATTTGTAAGAATTGATATTAATTTCATCAACAGCTTGACCATTGTACATCGAATAACTTTCCCCGTCTGATGCTACGGTAGTGTTTATAATGACGAATAAACTTCTTATGAGGCACACTCTGTTTATTGTAATACTTCTCTTACACAGTCCTTAACACACAGAGGGGTATACGGTCCCCTCACCCGATACCCTAAGAAGGTACAGCCTCCGGACTTAGCGGGACCTACACACAGGTCTCTTGCTAACCTAAGGAGGTACAGCCTCTTATCTTGGCAGGACTTACTCACACGTCTACCGCTATCCTAGAGTCCTCCGGCTGGGATCTAGGGGAGGCTATCTGACCCACCGCTGGCCTGGCGGGTCTTGACCACTGGATACGCCGAGCCTTAGCCCTCAGAAGGGCTGGAAGGCTGGTCCAGGGTCCTGGCTATCTTCAGCCCAGGCTTCAGTCTTCGTGTAGGGAGAGAACTCCCCGCGCTCTGCGCGCTCACCCTTCTTATAACCGTTTGTGGCCAGGTGTAACCAATCCCACATTCCCACGTGGAACTGTCTGATTGGTTCTTACCAAATTGTGGCTACGATCCACTTCACTTCGTCTGACCCCAACCGTTATGTACACAGAGGTAACGCTGCACTGCCCCTTTGATACCTAGTGGCAATGCAGGTTACCGAACAGTGAGTAGTTAACGACTCTTCACTACTGTAGCTATAGCAGTGAAAAATGAAAGGGACAAAAAGTGTGCTTTTGAGGACAGGGTCGAGGCTGGCGATTGGAGATTAATGTCCCTCATCAGTGATCCCTTGACACGAGGTACATAGAAAACGGCACTTGTCCTCCCGGAGAAAGAACCTTGATTTTTGTCAATATGTATCAGGACAATAGAATAAATTATGACTGTAAGTATAACTTTTTGCCGAGGATGACCTTCAAAGTGGCATTCAGCACTCAACATCTACCAGTGACCCAAGGGATATGTGGGTGACTGTAGCGCAGAAATTATTCTCGTGTTTGGCACTGGATGTTCCTGCAGGGTGCTCGCTGCGAGCACGTCAAACTGCAGCAGCAAAACAATGGGCTGAGACCTTCACCTCCATCGCATCGCAAGACACATTCGGCTGCTGAAATCATCGTTGAGGATGAACAGAAACATCTAAATGTGCTTTATCGCCACAACCCTGATGCTTACATTTGGCGCTTTTAACGTGTGCCTGCTCACAATCTTACACAGAGGCGGGAGGCAAAGCTCCCATTAAGGAGATTGGAGCAACTGCAGGACTTTGTGTGCACTTGTTAGCACAAATAGAGTTTGGAACGCGCACGCGTATCTCCATATTAATGTTCGTGCATTATATAGTAATTTTGCATCTACCGCATTAAAACTTAATGTAATATTTTGCTGCAGAATTTTTTTTTCATGAAATGTTGAAGTCGATGTTACATTCACGAGTATGTACATTGCATAAAATGCTTTCAGAAAACCTTAATGCAATACGAACCCAAAATGCGAAAAAAATAGTTTCTGCATGACTGAGTCATACATTAAATAACGTTTATGGAACTTATGGATCTGAAATTGACATAATAAACGTGAGCAGAATGTGATGCACAGCAGTGCCTTAAACATTTTGACATGGAAATGCACAAAGCTATGATTTAAAAAAAACGTATTTCTCTCGATGCTTCTTTACCAGTGTTAATCTTCGCCGGCCTCCTGATAGCGTCGTAATTATCTCGTTGAGAAACTCACTTTCGTATTCTAGTGACTGTGCAAAGAAGGCAATTTACTTTGTTACTTGGAATCAATTTAAACGTGGCCCTGTGACATCAGGGTGATTATAAATGGCGAAAAGAAAATGGACGTAAATACATGCGCGTTGAAGAAGTTAAGCTGCATTTACATCGTGTATTCTTAGCACACGTTTTTATCCCTGCAATGATTGCCGTGTGTTATAGATTCAACTGCCCTGTGCAGTGGCTACGTGAATGCTGAGCACGTGTCCGTGCTGGCGTTCATGTGCCCGGGGCCAAACGACTCGAGCTCAGCGACCTACTGCTGCGGCTTTGCTGACCTCAAATACTGCTGTGAAGAACCGGATCACTTCTTCCCTTACTCACACAGCTACATGTGGGCTCTGAGGTAGGTCTGCAGCATATAGACTGCTGCTGCGTCCCGCAACGATTTGCATTAAAGCGCGTGTTTGTCCTCGTGATGAAGAGTAGAGGCGCGGTCCTGCGATGGTCTGGCTCACGCCACTCTTTGACAGGAAGGAAGGCCTCCACTACTAGGTCGAGAGAGAGAGAGGCTGCCTCTTGTCGTTATTTGGCCTACTCGCCTATGCTGGCTTGGTGTCTTGGTAGAGGTCAGAGTACTCCACACTTCATCCCACCACAGGAGACCTGCCGATAGACTGACTCTGTTGTACCCCTTTGTACTATTCGGTAAATGGAGTTTGGGGGATTTAAGAGAACTTGCCCCGTTGCGTCAACTGCCACTCGGGAGATCAAATGGAACCGGTGACCTCTGCATATTTAAGTCCAGTGCTCTAACCATTTCTCCATGGTATGGGCTCTGTATAGATATCGTCTATACCGCATATATACATATGGTATATAGTATGGTCTCTATATCATTCATAATGTCCAAAATGCTGAGCTATGTGTGTCAGACATTCAAAGACAAGGATCACCCACATAGCCTTTAACAGACTATTCAGGCAAGTGCTGTTAGCGAGCACCTATGAAGGCCGGAAAGGTACACGGTGGGGTGGGTGGCCAACACCACGTCCGACCGCCTTTGTCTCCCCAGTAGCGATACTTACACACAACAGCAGATACTCATTTGAGGTGAACTAGGGGAGGCCGAAGAATGGTTCTGATAATTAATTGTCACTAGTGTTGGCCGTGAGCCGGAATCGAACTTGTGTGGCCGGGTTCGTAGCACAGTGTGGTGACTGCTGTGTCACCACACACCCTCTCAAGCATACCATTGTCAACTTATACACGTGGCATTGCTCATAAACTTTTTTCAGGGCGATATGTAGTTTCAGACTTCCGTTATGAACTCTTTAAGACAGTGGTTCTTAACATGGAGTGCACGCACCCTCTGAAATTAAATGTGGACATTTAAACATTCACATTTTTATAACTCAAGGCCCTTTTTTGCCTATAATTTTAAGCCTCCAGCAACAAAACGATGAAGAGTTTTGCGAGATTAAAAAAAAGAGATGTGTGTGAAAAAATATAAGAAAAGGTTTTATCCTTTCTGGCATTAAAACAGGTGTTAAGATGTTAAAACACCAAACCGAAACATTTTGCAAGGAATCATGTCTGCATTAATGACATATACCTGTGGTGAACATGAAAACAAACAAAAAAATCAACAAATAAAAAAAATTACCCCACAAATTGCTTCACTTGCTAACACCACTTAAGCAACATAGCCCCCTACTGGCAGACCCTACAAGATGTATGGCACCTTCGTAATAGCCCTAACGCGCGAAGAACGGCGTGAATACCAAATTATTCATTATTAACAGTATAAATATCAGTGTCAGCAGGTGAAAGGTACGTTTGATAGATCCCCGTCATGCCACTGGCAAGCACGGAGTTAATCTAAGTTTTATTGTGGTTGTTGTTGTTTGACTTGCATCCCACTGGGATTTTTTGCACACAGCGTTGGTGTACAGTGATTTTTTCAGGAATATTTTGCTGTTTTTTCATGGATTTTCTGTTTGCACAGTCACAAAGTCACTTTAAGATGTTTTCTTGTTCCTGTTTTTGTTTTTTTGTTTGTTGTGGTTGCACCCGATTCAAGAGCCGAATGGCTCACAGGGCTATACCAAAACAAATAAACTGAAACTGAGTTTGCTAACCGTGCGGCAAGTCCTTGTTTTTTTTGTCTAAAAATGTCCAATTTTTACAGTGAGTATATATTGAAAAGGGCAAAGGCTGAACCAATCTTTATCTATTAAGTCCAGTGCACAATTTAAATGGAGCAAGTGTCAGTTAAGGGGGGTTAGTCTGGGTACATGTCTTGTTCTGTATTGTCTATAACAAGATTTACAATGGTAGTTTATTAAATATATATTTTTAAAACATCATGGTACACCTGGTAATCATTGAGATAGATAGTTTAACACGTAGGCTGTGTCGGGTGGTGGCGTGTTTAACGACACATTTAAATTTACACGATCTAACCCAAAAAACCCCGTCTATTAACGATTGAGATAGAAAAACAAAAAATACCTTTTATTTCCCACAAAAAAAGACCAGATGAGGTGCCATAACAAGAGTCGTGAATACTCATTGGCGAAATTGTTGTTGTCAAAAGTGCATGCTTTCCTGGAAAAAATGTCATCTTGTAGCTCAATACTCCGTAGCCGTGGAGTGACATATATAGCCGTGTAGTGACATATAGCACTGCCCTGTGATTTGCAAGTCTCGCTGACATAAAGTCATAGCATTATTAAATTATTTCGTATCTTTTGACAACAGAAAAGCAAGGCTATAAAAGAGGAAAAGGCAGTGGCAGAGTTTATTTTCTTCACAGCTGTGCCCTTTCACAGCACTGCGATGTCATTGTCCTGTGGGTGGAATAATGTAAAGACATTTACAAGGAAAACACATTTGTGTAAATTAACTTACAAAGAGAAAATAGATCAATCTTGATTGATTTAAGCTAAATTTTGATTTAAAGCTTTCGTGACTGCAGGAATTCATATTCTTGGTTCTTTCGGTAAAGTCAAGTAGAAGGGAAAAAATAAAATAACAAAAATATAAAACAATACAATTCTCACGACGTTTCGACTGCAACACAAGCAATCATCATCAGGTGTGAAAACCACAGGCACTTTTTTCAAATTTTCTTGCTGTGGTTGAAACGTCGTGAGAATTGTATTGTTTTATATTTTTATTATTTCATTGTTTCCCCTCTACGTGACTTTACTGAAAGAACCAAGAATATGATTTAAGCTACTTATCACAAGCTACCGTCAACCTTTTTGCAGGCCACAATCCTTGACGGGAAATGTTAGTCTCGTTTTCCTTTTTTTCAGGATAGCCAGCAGCCTGAATGAAAGGTTTCCTTACAGAAAAAAATAATCTCAGCGCAGTATTAGAAGCCTATTCAGGGCCGGTGCTAGGTGGGTGTTGTGGTAGTGGCCTGCACCACCAAATGTCCCTTGGGCAAACCTAAATTCACTCTCCTTAGCTGTGTGAATCACTGCTGTTGGTGGCCTCCCCAAAATACCCTACCCTCCATCCGTGAGGAGCTGAGCCTGAGCCTTTCAGGAACAAAATATAGCAATAAATACAGAGTAGTATATACTAAACTATATAAAACAATTTTTTTTTTTTTTTACCAGATATGGCCCACTGAGCAACATAGCTCTTTTTTCGAAGCCACCCGGCCACAAACGATAGCTCAACAGACGCATGATTGGAAATTTGGAGGGAAAATCCGGAGGACCCAGAGAAAAATGCACACGACCACGGGGAGAACACGCAAACTCCAAATATATAGGCGTCAGGGTCGGGATCGAACCCACGACCTTCTGTATACCAGGCAAGGTAGTTAACATCTCACCACCGTGGTGCAATACCTACTGTGCTTTCAAGGCTTCCATCATCAGTGTAATGAACATTTATTTACGTTAATTGTTGAAAGAAGCAAGATGCAGTAGTATATACTATTTTAGTGATGCAACAGTACCTTGTTTATCTTTAACTGATGTTATGATCGAGGCTCCAGTCTTTCTTGATATTACGGTGCGTAGAGCATATTCCTAACATCGCCTCGACATTCAATACGTATAACTAGTATCTCCCATGTAAGGTCCTAGACATAAAGTCAGTTCTCTAAGAAGAGAATTGGCAGTGTGTTAAATTATTGGTATGCATGACAGGGTTCAGGTACATCCATTTTTTATGACTGGTTAAGCTTTTGACAAATGTCAAGGCACAAGGAACTTGGAGAACAAATATTTGCAATCATTTAATTCATAGTACTGTTGATACAGGACTGTGGTTAAAGGGGGTAACATAAGGGGTAAATTTTGAACTTCTTTATATTTTTCCAGTTGCACAGTCTGTACAAAAAGTACATCAAATCCTGATTTTGCTCCCCGTTAGACATTTCCTTCGCATTATAAATCATGCAATGAAATCGAAGAATGTCCCCTACATTCACCAGATGGGGCTTTGAACAGCAGCTCTTTCGTTCGATTTTAACGGAAACAAAAAACACAGCATTTTTGGAAATATATTAAACAGTAGGTCACGGCCAAATGCACAGACAAGCTGATTTTTTTATGTTGTATTGAATGGATCATGAATAAAATAAGGGCATTGCTTTGACAAATAGTTAGTTTGGTTGAGCTGCCTGTAATAACAGGAACATTCTAAAGTGTATTATATACACCAGCAACGATATTTATTTTTCTGAATACATGTACTTGGCCGTCAAATTAATCATCAGCATGTTAACATGTCAATCTTTACAGCTCCTACATACAGTTTTTTTGTCTATATCCAACCACTATATAACTTTTGACAAACATATTGCACATGGTATTGCATGTGCAATACTGTTGTTATTGGTGCATTATTTACAGTGGCATATAAAACACTGTAGTGTCATGTTTGAATACTGGACCAGGAACCATGTCAATATGGGTTCAATTCCACGTAGCTTTTTGCATCCAATGAAAGTTACACTCTCCCAGCCTCTTATGGCATTGGCTGAGTACCGGCTTGCTGTGTACTTACATGCCAACAGAGGGCATGTAGAGTGCTTTGAGTTTCTCCAAGGATGCCACGTGGCGTCATGGGGCATTCCATGGAGCCCTCAGTCATGTCCAGCATTGCTTTAAGGCGCATTTTAGTTCCGGGGCTGCTTGACTGGTGGTTATTGGTTAAGTTACAGATATCATTTGTGACTCAGTACTGTGCCTACTGTGCATTCATGGGTTTCCGTCATCAGCGTAATGAACATTTACTTGTCACCTTGTTGAAAGAAGCAAAATGCAGACTCAACAAGATTGTGATTTTCCCCCTCCCTAACCCTATGGGTGTCTCTTAGCCGTCTCAACTCGGTGGGCGTGTCCAGACAACCACGACACCCCAGTGGCTCGGCCCCTGGTTACATTGATTACATTGATATACATTCACTAGTTTCCAATAAGTTGTAGGATAAATAAGAAAGATGACTCGGGTGCAAATGTATTCGTATAAGTCGGTGTTCTTCATTGCAAGGCCCGCGGGCTACTGGCGGGCCCTGGTGGCCTTTAGTGCAGCCCCTAGCGTGCCCCCACGCTGCACAAAGGGGTCAACAGCAATACACAACACGTGACAACTCCCCCCATCATCATCGCGCTGTCAAACCCCAGTGGTTTGACGTGTGTGGCAGCCCCTCACACGCTGATGATGTCTTATCGGCGAGAGTGCTCCCCCCCCCCCCCTCTACAAATGTAGTGAAGAACACTGGTATAAGTCCAGTAACTTGACCATTTTGAAAAACGCGTGTTTTTTCTTTTTTACAGAAACTACTGGCGTCTAATGATGTCATTGTTTTATGTTCCCTCTTACCGTAGTGTCCTATTAGACGTATGCAACGGAATGGAATTCATAACATATGTATTCATCACAGTATGAAGGACGTATACTTTTTTTGCGAGCTTTTTGAAGGGACGTAATCATTTTTATTTCTTCTATTCATTTCCCAAACAAATGACAACATTTAATCACGAGCATTATTTGATTAAACATGAATTGAAACCCGAGTAAATGTAGGGAATGACGCGGTAGTTTTTGCTCTTTTCTCATGAACAGAAACTAATGCTGATTTGCTTTTCAAGCTTGTTGATTGTAAATCACAAACTTGGCTCCATAAGTGCTCCGCATTTTCAGGTTTCCAAGGACGCACCATTCGTTACTCGTGATTTACCCCACAATCAGAGTGAATAAGGTTCGTGTTTCTCTCCAATTGTTATAAATGGCGCTTCTGCAACATTTAATAACTGAAACTGAGTCGCCTTCAACCTTATCAATTTTGCCCTTGGAGGCCAACAAATAAAACTGCCCAACCAAACCGATGTATAAATATCTTTTGCTGTGCTATATTTATTATGCACGTGAACACAAGTGCTCACAGTGAAAGAAAGTGCACTGCATGTAAACGGTGGCTTAAAGGAGCACAATTTCAGCAACAGGAAATTTCACCGGATTCACTGCAAACGCAGTCATGGGTTTGTTTTTCGTGTTTATGGCATGGCGGGAAAAAAAACATTTCGATTCATGTAAAGAAGATGCATCCATCCATTTATAGAGACTCGGTGTGTAGCGTCATGCTGACACTGACACAGCTTGAAATGCGGCACCTGGCAAGCGATTTAGCACTCGAGGGATTACAGAAAACTGACCTCAATCAAGTGCTGCCTAACAGCCCTTGCAAAATTGGTGGCGGCGATTTCAAGTGAACCTTTGCCATCTATATGTGACCCTTAAGATACACATTCGAAAAGCTGTTTTGGCTTTGTAACCTGGAAATGTAATTTGTAATTGAATTTCTCTAATTGCGTCTGTGAGCATTGTTTTGATTTGAAACTTTCGTGACTGCAGGAATTACTCTTTGGTTCTTTCGGTAAAGTAACGTCGAAAGAAAATAAATTAAATAATAGAATACGACGTTTCGATTGCAACACTAGCAACCATCATCAGGTAGAACTACATTTGAGAGAGAGACAAAACACAGACGAGGAGGCACACAGACAGACACACAAGCAGAGAGAGACAACACAGAGACACACAGAGAGACACACAACAGTGTGTCTATGTTGTGTCTGTATGTGCGTCTCCGTGTCTGTGTTTTATCTCTCTCAAATTTAGTTATACCTGATGATGGTTGTTTGTGTTGCAATCGAAACGTCGTATTCTATTATTTAATTTATTTTCTTTCTACGTGACTTTACCGAAAGAACCAAAGAGGAAGGATTGTTTTGTTAATTTTTTTGTGATGTTACCTACATACTTGTGTTATTTGTTGTTATGAAAAGTGGTTATTATGCTCATGCATTGGTGGCTGAGTGTCGTAAAGAACAAAACCTCACTATCCAGATGCATGCCTGTGTCCTTTAAGAATGCAATCCAGCATGAGTGCTTGGTGTAGTGCCTTTAACTCCAGCTCTTGAAAGACATGATGACCTGGAACTCATTTTTTTTGTAACATTACCACTGTTATTATGCTTCCAGAATAATGGATGGTGACGAGCAGCACTTACCAATGCAGTCTAAACTAGGACATGTAGGAGTGTCTTTGCGATAAATGAACGGTGCTGCCATGGTGTCGAGGTTAGTCTCTGCCCACTGAAGTCCGGTCAGCATTGATTATACATGTATAAAATCGGTGCCTTTTGAGATCAGACTTAAAACACTTGTATTCTCTTCTGCTCCTGATGTTCAGTTTCATTGTTATCAGTGCAATGCATGCTTACGTCTCTGATGCTTGCTCAATATGGCACGTGTTACAAATCTTGGCTTGATTGATTGAAAGTTGGTAGCACCCAAACCACCAACCCAAACCCCTCACACAGACATCAGAAAATATCTTATTCACGAATTTTTATTAGAATGGGCATTGAGATATGAGGAGTTCCACCAATTAATTATATAAAAAAACAATCTAACACAAAGATTATATCTACATTGGAAATTATTGTACTGTATTTGTTGAAATATGACAGTGTATTGATACATCTGTAGTGTGCATAGCTGACTTTAAAAACCATTATAAATACAGAACTCTATAGAGATTATGCTTTGTAAGTGTATATATAGTGGCAATTCGATTAGTTCTATTAGTTATAGCTCATTCTCTGTATGGAATAAATGTATTAAAGCTGTGCTTATGACCATTTATATATACAGTTTTATTCTTCTCTAACAGAGATTTAATCTCTCATATCTTTCTTAATGCATAATTTATATGGAATGTCAATTAGGTTGTGATTTGCAACCTAATTCTCTTAATGCCTGCATTGCACTTTCAATTATCATTCCTGTGGGGGGGGGGGGGATACATTTATCCACCATCCTCCCCCAGATAGAGATTTTGAATTTAAGCTGCCAGGGTTTAGCCTGGTTGGTCCTTGAACGGGTGACCTCTTGGGAATAGTGGGCGTTGTAGGGTTGAGGCTGGCTGTGAGGTGACCACGGGATGGAAGTGCAGCAATGGATTCTTAAACCTCTGTGTGGAGCTTTGAGCGTCACCCCTTTCTGTGCATGGTGGATTTTCTCTGGGTTTTCTGGTCTCCTCCCAGAAGAAGTCAATCACTCATTCTTGGAATTGCCCCAAATATCCCAATATAGCAAGACCCTCATGAACAAGAGTCTTGAAAATCAGAGAGGTCTCCCAAGGTAAAATTAATTATTGACATTTTAAAAGTATCACATTGAGGCAATACCACCTGTTTTCTGTTTAATCGTTATTTTCAGTTATTTGTCAATCGTATGTTTGCAAATGGCCTCCTCATACCTTGTCCATCATGGGGATTTTCTCTTTACCATACTTCACTACGTTCGTCAGTGTTAGCCTTTCTATTTTATCCCCTGCACTGGAAATTTGATAATTTCCACCTTTATGTCAATAACAGTAAACTCGACTGTCTCTGGAAAAGTGTGTGAGCTTGTGTTCAAATGCCCTCGCAATAAATATAACAGGTTTTAGAACACACATCTCTTAATAAATTGACAAAGAAAGGACTCTATTTTTAACTGTGTGTAGGCATATTTAGCTTGAACTTTAGTACCTCAATATTTTGAACACATTAAGTTAATGGCCACAAATAGTGACGAAGCGGTAGCCGAGGAATGAAACGCACGCGAGGACATCCACCGGGGAGAGATGGAGCGATTAAATCAGCTTGTGTGCAGGCATTGTTGGGGGGTGGATGATGATGTCGATCGACTGCATTATGTTCGATGGCGGCAGCTTGGTGAGTCCTATCTATGAATGATCCTTGTCCCGCTCGTGAACGGAATACGCCGCATTGCCGTTTGACCCCCTTGTGCAGCGTGGGAGCGCTGGTCGGACTTGGCTTCGCGGCGCTCGTCTTCCTGGCGTTCGTCGTGAGCGTCTGCGTGCTGGGCTACCTGTTCCTGTGCACCAAGCCCCGCGGGCGCCTCGACTCCGGCCTGCATCTCCAGCCGCAACACGGCAAGCGTCCTGCGGCTCTGCTGGCGGGGCACGAGTAACACCGCGCGTGCCGCACTTACGGCCCTTCAACCCGGCACTCATGCGCGCGTGGTACCCCGTCGTTGATAGCCACGTGGCAGACAGAGATCCCCCCCCCCCCTCTAAATTTTAATAGCCTCAAGGGCCATACATTTAGTGCGTACGCATGGACGGGGGGGGGGGTTAACCCAAATGGGGGGGGGGAGTCTACTGACAATGTACGTATGTATAGGAAACGGGGGTGGGGGTGAAGCCTCGATAAAAATTTGACTACATTGGCCTTCAAATGAGCCACAGGTCAGTGTCTTCAGCCGTCAGACATCAAGTATTAGCGGGAGAGGTGGGGCTGTGGGAGAGGTGTCACTTGTTATGTCACCGTACCCCCCTGACTGCAAATATCACGCAGCTCAGCAAAATAAGTGGCCAAGGTACGCATCTTAAAAAAAAGATACCTGTTTGCTTAAACACGTTAATATTATTAATCCTTGATCGTTTCTGCGTGGATTAAATATCGGCCGTTCTTTAAGGATTCGGCAGGGGGAGGGGGTGCGTCAGGCGTACGAACGCAGGTGGGAGGGGGGGGTGTAAAAAGTCCGCGTGCGTACAGGGATGGGGGGAGGGGACAAGATTTGACAGATTCTTGCTGTACCTACTCAATGGATGGCCCCCTATCGTGGCTGTTGGGGGCAAAGTGCCGTTAGCGAGCACTCAATGATGCCATCTCGGCGCACGAGATGGCATCATCAGACGCCCAAGCCGTCTGATGTCTCCCCAGGGACTGACATGTTCACACCGCAGCAGGGATTTGTTGAAAAGCTGAGCCAAGGTAAGGGAAGCCAAGGACAAGTTTAGATATTCGCCAATGATGTTGGCCATGAGTGGGAATCACACTCGAATTTACGGATTTGGAGTGCAAGGCGCTGGCCACTACACTTCCATCTCTCACTTTATAGCCAGGCCAGGGTTCACTGAGACACCGACATTTACACGTTGACGCAAAGGCGTTATGTTTCCCATGAAATTGGCCGAATTGCTGTTACTTTCTGCCAATTCCCATATTTTCACCAAAGACACAAGTTGCATCTTTGGCAAAAGCGAACGTTACAACAGGGTACAAATCTGTCCTTCAACCAACCTGCACTGATCAGCCTGGTGATGTGTGGTCAAACAACTCACGTGGCATGGCAAGCCCCTCATCCAGCAGTGGATTGACAAACTGGCTGTTACATATACACTATGTACGTACAAATGCGCTATCTCATAGAAAATCTGTGCACGGACAACACACAATTATGGAATAATATAGAAACATGTTTAATGACAAACTTCTAGACATGATTGTTTCAATTGAAACACCCCCCCCACCGCCTCACCGCCCTCATTTTACATTAATAATACTTTGTGATTTAAAGAATGAGGACAAATCTAGCCAATGTGAACTGTAATAATGCCTCTAGATCTGTGCCGGATTATCTTAGTGGCCAAAGTCGCTACAGATTCTACGGGCCCGCACTTTCAAGGGCCCCACGCTCTAATGCAGTGGTTCTTAACCTTGTTGGAGGTACCGAACCCCACCAGTTTCATATGCGCATTCACCGAACCCCTCTTTAGTGAAAAATAAAATGTGATTTTTTTTCAAATTCAATACATAGATATGTTTTTTACTGGTACACAAAATGAGCCGTGCATGAACATTACCTTGTTCAAAGAATAAAACCAACACAATGCATAAACTCACAACAAATTACATACCTGGAAATCAATGTGACTTCTGCTGTTGCCTTTGAGAGATCAGTTCAGATATGCGTGGCTTCACCTTGGCAAGTGCCACTCTCATGTCATTTTCACAGCAAAGTCTGTTCCTTTTCTTCGTTTTTATGTCCAGCATCCTCGAAAAGGATTGTTCACAAAGATATGTTGTAACAAATGGTATAAAAAAATCCAGGGCTTTCTTAGCAATAACTGGATACTTGTTCATTTGTCGACACCAAAACGTTGAGAGCGTTGTTGTTCTGAAGAGTTGCTGTTGAACCTGGCTCTGCTGAATTTCAATGATTTCGTCGAGGAATTCATCATTGACATCTGCTGTTTCAACAGCAAACGTGAACGGCTGTCTCACCCATGCTGGATATGACTCTCTTGTAGGGAAATATCCGTCGAGAGACTTTGCAAGCTCATCTAAGTGCGTGGCAATTGTTTGCTTCAGTTCCGTGGATACAGAAATATCTCCGATTCCAGACACATCTTCGATCTTACTTGCACAGTCGTCCAGAAGCGGGAAGTTTGCGAAGTTATTGTTCTCTGTTCGTCGTTTCCATAACGGTAGCTTTTTTTGAAAAGCCTTCAGGTGTTCTTCCGCTTCCATGATATTGACTCCACCACCCTGCATCTGCTGATTGAGATGATTGAGAGCTGCGAATATATCAGCCATGTACGCTAAAATGAGAATGAACTCAGGATTTTTGAAGCAATCTGCATGGCAGTGTTGGTGCTCTTGCAAAAACAGGGCTAATTCCACACGCATGGCAAAAACACGATTCAGCACCTGTCCCCGGGATAACCACCGAATATTAGAATGGAGCAGAAGTACCTCAAATTCAGAGCCCATTTCTTTACACAGCTCACTGAAGATGCGGTGCCTCAGAGCACTTTTTCGCACATAGTTCACACATTCCACCACAGTTTTTAATACTTCTGCCATTTTTGGAGGTAAGGTTTTTGTTGCCAACGCATGCCTGTGCAGAATACAATGCGTCACAATGATGTGTGGTGCATCGGCCTTTACTAGCGCACCAAAACCAGACTTTCTTCCCAGCATGACTGGAGCTCCGTCCGTACAAACTGCAGAAACCATATCCCATGAAAGATTGTTGTCTCTGAAGAAGTCATCCACAAGCTTCTTCACATCGGCTGCCTTCGTTGTTGTTGTAAGAGGCTTACAAAATAAAAACTCTTCTTTTATCATGTCGTCTTTCACATAGCGTACAAAAACAGCAAGCTGGCTTAGATCAGAAACGTCTGTGGTTTCGTCGAGTTGAAGGCTGAATTTTGCCGGGCTTGAAATCAGATCCGCGACTACTTGAGCCAAGATGTCTTTACTCATGTCTTCTATTCTGTCAGTGACGGTGTCATTTGAAAGGGGAATTTGGGATAATTTACCTTCGGCCGCTGTTCCGAGTATCAGATTCGCCATCTTTAATGCAGCTGGTTTCACAAGTGTTTCACCAATGGTGTGTGGCTTGCCCTGCTTTGCGATCAGGTAAGCAACTTCGTACGATGCTGTCAGGATCGGTTTGTTAACAGGTACAAATCCAAGAGCAGGCAGAGTGGCCCTTTCATCGAATCTGGCTCTCTTCACCCTGAATTCAGCAAGTGTTGTGTTCTTGTATTCCCCGTCTCCATGCAGCTTCAAGAAGTGTTCCTTTAGTTTTGCCGGTGCAAGACTAGAGTTGCTCAACTTGGCGTTGCAAATCATGCAGATAGGACGCTCACTCCCATCACGTTTCGTGATACATGAGAATCCATGTTGTACATATTCGTCCGACCACTTTCTTCTTTTGCCCGACATAGTTAGTATGGATAAAATATTAAAGAAATCACACGACGTACGACAACAACAGTCACACGTTGACTACTGAGTACGCACTAAATTCTCCGCAGCGCTGATTGGCCAAGCAGTGTAGCATGATCATCTGCAGCTAGTGATGGCCAAGCGGGCCGTGTGTGTCATCACAAATTTACACAATAATTCAAGTGTGTCCGGACCTCCGTGGCGGGGGCTCTGCCGAACCCCTGAGATCGACTCACCGAACCCCTGGGGTTCGATCGAACCCAGGTTAAGAACCACTGCTCTAATGCTTTCAAGCGATCGATTCCAATTCAATGAAACTGCGCTTACTCTATTAAATAGTACTAGACTGCCTTCAACTTTTATGAACGACTGGGTGTTTAAGGTTAGCGATTTGTCGTATTATCTGGCTGAATAGCAAATGAAAAAATACAATAACTTTACTATGCAAGTGAAAAATTTGTGTTTTAATATTTGTATTTTTTATTTTATTTATGGCCCCTTTTTAACAAATGCTACAGGCCCCGCACTAGCTTAATCCGGCACTGCTCTAGATTATAATTGCAATGCAGGAAGTGTACCCATCTCCTTCAGCGTGTCCCAGAGGAGTCGCAATCTTGTTCAGCCGTGCAAATCACACAGCCGTAGCCAGAGGGTTATATTGCGGTAGATTGTGTGATGATTACAAATTAATGCCAAGCGTACAAAGATATTACACCGAACTCTCGATCTAACAAGGTGACACTTTGATTTGTCTTCAGTTGGAGCTCAATTGCGTACTAAATAAATGTTGAATGTGTAAACTGCAATGGCAGGCATATCTTTTTTTTAATTGAACAAAACCTTACATTGGATACAGTATTACACCGGTTATGACACCGCGCTACGAACTCAATTACCTATATTTTATTCAGAGAACACCAGCGACGATTGATATCTGAACCATTCCCTAGTATACCCTTCACCCACCCGCACTAACTAGCGCGGTGAGGAACGGCCAAAACAACCCCCATGGCTTACACAGCATAGGGGAGACCTTCATCTAGACGTGAATTGACAAAACGGCTGTAAATTAATAGTCCGGTCATACCTTTCCCAAGGCTTTTTTTTTACTTAGAGGTACGTTTTCCGGATCACGGGGGTGATGTATCGGCTGTACGTGGTTTGACGCTGCTAAGATTCTCATCTTAGCGTCGGCAAGGAGTGCGCGGTTTGCTTGTGGTGGGCTAAGAGATGTTAACTCCCTCGCCTGCTACACAGGAAGTCGTGGGTCCGATCACGACCCGTGACGCCTGCTGTATATTTGGAGTTTGCGCGTCTCTCTCCTCGTGGTCTCGTGGATTTTTCTCCGGGTCCTCCGGTTTTCCCCTCCGCATTTAGAAACGTGCGTTTAGAGCAATTAGGCTGCTATAAA